TAAGTGAGGAAACTAAAGACCAGATCAGTTCTACATGTACTAGCCTCAAGTTAGATTCAGCAAGTAATTTAAACCTTAAGTAACTCCAAAACTCAAATGGACTTCCCTATTAGCTGTTTCATGCCTCCCATACACATCAAGACCCTAGGAGAGTTATCTTAGGGATCAACACCAAGAACTTCACATCCAGTAACCCTTCCATTTCTATTTCAAGGCATTTTATGAATTATTTAGTATCTTGTTACAAAGGTTAGGTGTCCTTATTCATATTCATCACTTCTTCCCAGGCAATGTCCTTTCTCATAGTCTTAACATCATCAGAGCAAGCCATAACTTGTTATGATTAACTAGGACTCTGGGATAAGAAAAACCTGGGTCCAAATTCTATTTAGTCAACAACTATGAGACCTTCAGTGAGAAGGTTAACCTAGTTAAGTCATAAGTTTCTCATCTAAAGAATGCAGATATTATCATCAACCTTATGACTTTCTTGGGAGGATTTTCCAGGAGAATTAGGTATAGAAAGGCTAATATTACAGGCAACCCAGCGAAGAGCAACCATTTAGTAGGTGTTAGCTTTCATTGTAAGTACTACTATTTAGCAAGTCATTAACTCAAAGACCTGTTGACTTCCATTTATGCAAGTCACTCCCTCCCACCAGTCATTTGGATAAGAGCTTGTTTTTTAATGCTCCTCTCCCCACACTGACAACTCCTTTAGCCCATTGATAAATGTTTTCTTTTTCGAGCCACAAAATCAACTGACATAAAGAGAAAATCCTACCCATTGACCTTAACACAAAGCCCCCAAGAATCCATGTGATCAATCGGTCAAAGGTCTGAGTAGAGCTTCATCTTAAATTTTACTGGAGAGACCAAAGAATAGAGGTCAATAACCTTTGGGCACAAGGGGAACAAACCCAACCCACTGCACATGATTAAATTAGCAGATGTAAGAATGAAAGGAGCTAAGAAGTATGTATTTATAATACACTTAAAATGAATTCCAGTGAACCATGTGAAGCCTTTAGCACTCACAATGCACCACCCACATAACATTTGTTTATAGTCCTCCCCTCTCTGTTTTATCTCCAGGGTACTTTTCTCCTCCAATTAAAAATTTAAGTCTTTAAGGCTGGAGACTATAGAGCCTAATGAACCTAGAAACCTGCAGTTCACCACACCTAGCTCAGTGTCTACAGTGGCTGCTCTCTCTGGAGCACTTACTCTCTGGCCAGCTTCTCTCATTCCATCTCCTCCTCACATCTCAAGATGCAGCTCAAATGCACTTTCCTCCAAGAGGTATCTCTAGGTAATCTTGACTAGCCCCTCCCCATACCCTGCTCTACCAAGTTGTTTTCTTCACAGCAACTGCCACTACGTGAACTTAACTTTATAGTTGTTTGTTTGGTATGTCTCCTTTTGAAATGCACTGTCTACGAAGAAAGAAGGGAATTTTGTCTGCTTTTGCGACTGTCATAGTCTCCAGCACCTGGAACAATTACTATAAAATATTTCTTAAATGAATATAGTGTGAAGATAGTGAATATGGGAAATAATACACATATTTATCTAACTGAAGAACACAAATTTTTATCTGATCCTGTGGCAAAAAATAAAGCGGCCCTCAAAATGGGAGCTTAAGGACAGCATGTATAAGCTATAGCAAGGGCCTACAGATTTAGGTTTAGTCACACTAAGTAGACCAGGGATGTCTGCTCGCTCCTGTTTCCAGTGGTTTAAAAAGGCCTCACTGTCCTGAGGAAACTCATAAGAAATTAAGTGTCACCTGCCTCTACTTTTTATCTTGTGTTTTTCTCCTTAACATTCAGTGTATATTAACACTTGTCTTGTGCTTAGCCATTTACATGTTTCTCTTCCACCTCTGGTGTGATTTTCTAACGGCCTTGTGAGGTAGGAGGAGAAGGGCTATGTACCTCCATCTCCCAATTCTCATGCTCTCCTTTACCAATAAGAAAACCAAAAGGCTCAGGAGAATCGAAATATTAACTCAAGGTCATGAAGGAGTAAGTGTGATGCTGGACCATCAAAGCAGGTATTCCTGGCTCCAAATTTTCTTACTTCTACCTTAGTAAGCTGCCTTTCCTAATACATAAAATGGAATTTTTAACTTTAGTATTAAAATATACTTGAGAGAAATAACATTTGCACAGCTTCAGCAAGCAGGTTCCTCCCCCCAAAGTTGTCTCCCTTTCCCTACATAGAATTAATTTAGGAAATATTCACATTTTAAACCCACAGCTGAATTTGTCCCTAGCAATACATTCTTGAATTTATTATGTTATCACAATACACTAACTATACATTTAATTATAAGTTTTATAAGTCATGACTTCAAAATTCTAGTACAAATTTAGAAGGTATTCCATAAGCTAATATTTTCAATTGTAAAATACCAATACCAATACCAGAATATTTCTTCCTATTGGATTATAAAAGTAAGATTCTCAACTCCAAACTCAAGAGCTCAAAAATAACCCCAACACCATGTTATTATCAAAATGAGAACTCTGAATACAGGCAGACACAAGGGATAAAGTAAGCTACCTGATAAGTAAAATTTAAACTGAACACACTAAAATAAAGTCACATGTTTGTGATTCTGTAAATATAAAAATAATTCAGCCCTCTGGAATAAGGCACACATGTTCTTTTTAAAATAACTGCTGAATCTCAAGCAGAAATTCAGTAAGCTTAAGTTTTTTGATAAAACAATAGTCTACAGTCAAGTCCATTAACAGCAGCATCAGGGAAGAAAGAGAGAAAGGGGACACCAATATGAATAATCCCCAGAAGTCAGTTTTGTAGTGATCTAGTTTGTTCAATGTGTATATTTTTGACAGACATACAACACCATTTCAACTCCCCAGTATGTATCAACTAGTAAGGAATGGTTGTGCAGAATGAAGGCGAAGAGTCTACAATCATCACAGGAGTCAAAGGAAAGGGAGTAGCTGCTATTTTAAATTTGCCGCAGATGAGCCACACCATCAGTAACTTATACGCAGTTAATGAGGTGAAAGCTGACTGGGGTATTTTTCAGTACTTCATTCTCTCAGCAAAGATGTCCTGAAGCACCTACTATGCATTACGGAGTTAGTGTGACATATAATGGGATTATCCCTTTGATAACCTCTAGAGTGCCTGCTATGTAAAAAACAGCGCTTGCTTTACGGCATAGTTCTTACTTTTAAGAAATTTCAGTCTTGGGAGTGGAATGGTAGACAGACAGAGAGCGAGCTGAGAAAACCGTTTCAACAGAATAAGTACTAAGAGGTGCATAAGTTCCTACAAAACAAAGAGAAGTGCTAACCCAACTGGATCTGACAAAGACAGACAGGAAATAAGGAATGAGAGAAGACTTGCGGTGCTGTGACACTGAGACTGAGTCCTCAACAGTGAACGGAATCGACTAGGTGGACAAGCAGACAGCTGACATGGATGGGCACGTCACAAGACGAAGCACAGTAAGCAACTGCTGCTAGGAACAAGGCAGGACAATCCGGGGGCCTGGGCACGGGCTTTGCCAGGACTGCCTTTTTACGGACTCTGCCAAGGCACGTGGCTCTCACCACATAAGCACTAGGGAGCCACCAAAGAGCTCAGGCAGAGAATGGCACCATCAGAAAGGCAGTTCTGACACTGAGATGCATTTGGAATTTCCTGATCTTTCATGGCTGTGGGAAAAATGAAAAAA